TTTGTATGTTTTCCTGCTCTAGTTTTTCCCATTCTAGCTTGCAAACCATTCTGTTAGTTTTCATGTTCCTAGCATATTTATACCCATAAATTTTTATCCCTCTACTGTTCTCTCTCTCCCGAGTTTAAACTGTTCTCTTGTCTTAGATTACAGTTGTGAATACATTTTCCGGAGACTTGAGATTCTTGACCATTTTTTCCTGTGAAACACATGAGCAAATTATCAAAAGTTTCGTCGTTGAGAAAAAGTAATAGTCGAAATGCCAGAACCATTATTCTCATGGTCACCATTCTTCTGATGTCTACCTTTTGTTTAGCTGGCACTGAGATGATGCATTAGGTTGGGCCATTGTCTTACCCTGAATCGTCATAGTCTATGTCTTCACACTTGTAGAGAGGATAGGATAATTGCTCTGGAGCTTAACTACTATATTAGTAGTCTGTCTAGTATATTAATTTAGTTTTGACTTGTTCCTTTTATCATCATTTTCAGATCGGTTGTCCCATATATCACAGTTGTTTTTCGAGCCTCTCGTTTTCAGTTGTCTCCATATCTTGTTGATTCGAGTATGAGAGACAACTTATCTTTCTTTTTATGTTATGAAAGGGCACCAATTGAGGATAATTGAGGGAACAATGACTTGGGTAGTTTGAGCATGTCCTTTATGGACCTAAAGAACGATGCAGTACGAGTAAAAAAATGGTTAGAGATGGAGAGGTAGTCCAAAAGTAACATGGTCTTGTAGCTAATTATTTGATTGCATCAATAGTGATTGACCAAATTAAGTGCCAAAAAAGGATTCACATAGAATTTATTTCAAATAAGGTAGAATTTATTTCAAATAAGGCCTAGTTGGTTGTTCTTACTTTTTCTTATCCTTGCAATATGTGGAACCAATTTTGTGCCTCTTTTTCTCTTCACAGCCTTTCCTCCGCAGCTGCATCTCTGAATCTAATTTCTTTTCTTACAGGTTGGGCTGACAAGCCCGGGTTTTATTGGTGCGGATGTTTGCCATCTTAATCTACACAAAACATTTTGTATTCCTCATGGTGGAGGTGGACCTGGGATGGGGCCCATTGGCGTAAAGAAACACCTAGCACCATTTCTACCGTCTCATCCTGTGGTATGTTGAAAGACATTATCTGTGGACTGTATTTGTGGATGTAAATATTCTATATCTGCCTAGTGTAAATTATTAAACAAAAAAATTTAATATGGTCCATATCGTGGCTTCATTGTCATATTGCAGGTTCCCACAGGAGGGATACCAGCCCCGGACAAATCTCAGCCCCTTGGTACTATTTCTGCTGCTCCTTGGGGATCTGCACTCATTTTGCCAATATCATATACCTACATTTCTATGATGGGTTCAAAGGGACTGACAGAAGCATCTAAAATAGCCATCTTGAATGCTAACTACATGGCAAAGCGTTTGGAGGTCTCCGTTTCTTCTCTCTACTTGTTCTGTCTACTATTATGTGCATTTTGTATCCTGATGGTATCCTAGTGGGACACGAGGTTCCATGTACTGTCATGCCCTTAGAGCATAATGCTTTTAAAGTAAGCATTTTCACTAAAAAATTGAAAAATAGAGTAACTTCTAAAAAGGCTCAAACATGTTTCGATAAAAAAAATTCCTTAAAAATGTTGAAGCTTGGCTAAATATGCTCTTAGTCATTGTAAGAGAGTACTGCTGTTTCTCTCATTTTGCAAGACATGCTTTCTCCCATTATGCAAACATTAACCTTTTTTTTTTGGGCTTCGACTGTGAGTTTGCGACCCTGGCTATTCCACCAGTTCCTTTAATTGAAATTTGAGGTCGATAAATAATGCTGTTAATATTTTAGGCTTTGATTAACAGGAGCACTACCCTATTCTTTTCCGTGGTGTAAACGCGACAGTCGCCCACGAGTTCATTGTTGATTTGAGGGGCTTTAAGGTAATTTTGGCTGAGCATCATTTACCCATGACTTCCAATTTCCATGCAATTGGCCATGTACTTATTGCAATTTACGAATACCGTAGAATACTGCTGGAATTGAGCCTGAAGATGTCGCTAAACGTCTCATGGACTATGGCTTTCATGGACCAACAATGTCATGGCCAGTTCCTGGTACACTCATGATTGAACCAACCGAAAGTGAAAGCAAGGTAAAAAAATAACATAGTTTCACTTGCATGAACAGACACCGGATGTCGAATGCAAATTTCTACGCCGTGATTTTGAGCTCATCTCATTTTGTTCGCAGGCAGAGTTAGACAGGTTCTGTGATGCTCTTATTTCGATTAGACAAGAAATTGCACAAATCGAGAATGGAAAAGCTGATATTCACAACAATGTTCTCAAGGTAAAAGATGTTCCTCTTGTCAGGCTGTTGCTTCTATTTAATTAAATCGTGGTTTGTAGACATTCATATTAAGTATTAACATGTTTTTTGAGATTTTCTGTTTTAGCATATATTTGGAGAAACTAATTCTGGTAATTTTTTTTCCAGGGGGCTCCTCATCCACCATCACTCCTTATGGCAGATGCATGGACAAAACCATATTCTCGGGAATATGCTGCCTTCCCAGCTTCCTGGCTCAGAGCTGCTAAGTTCTGGCCTACTACAGGTATGTTTAATAAACTCTCTGATGAATGGTTTCTGCAGAGAATAGAGTAAAGACATTCAATTTTTTTTTTCACGAGGAAACTTTAATGTTTGAGGTTATTTCTAGGTAAAAAGCCTTAACGTGAAATTCCTTTTCGTCGCCTTTGCAATTTGTACTGTGTTCCTCCTTGGATTTGAAGTTTAATCATCCCCTAAAATCCTGCGGTAGAAGGTTCTTATGCTTATGTTCTCTACGAAATCAAAATTTTGGATACATGACATATCATTCTAAATCTTTGGTATCATTACATGTATAGCATTCTTATACATACACTAGCCTTTAAATTCAGTTTGTTGCTTCGACTTTCTATTTTTTCTTAGAATATTCTCTTGTTCACAAGAGTGACGCACTTTCGGTAAAGCAAATCATAAGAGGGAGGGATAGAGCAAAACTAACATGACCTACCAGATTTAGTTGCTTCAGATTTCCTAGTAGATTTAGCAATGAACAGAACGAAATGCCGACATGGACTGGTGTAGCTGACTCCAAATTTATTGAGAATAACTTCTTCTTCTTGTATTGATTCTCTCTCTCTCTCTCTCTCTCTCCAACTTTAACTATTCTCTTTGATTTGTTGTTGTTATTACAGGACGTGTGAACAATGTGTATGGTGATCGTAACCTCACATGTACCCTCCTTCCGGTCTCACAGATGGCCGATGAACCAGCTGCAGCCACAGCTTAAAGCACTGCCCTTCATTTTCGAAAGTCTTCACAAAGTGATACAAATTCATCATCGTTGGTGTATATAAAGGTTTCGTGTTTTATTTATAGATGCTTTCATCTTCTTACAAGGTTGATGATCATTTATAACGATTGTTGCTGATTGCAACTTCACACATTGTAATTGATACTTCTTCTGATTTCTATTTTTAAATGGCATGGCCAACACAGAATGGAAAATTGTTTTGAACTTTTTGTCGAATTTGTATGGAGTCCAATTTAGGGCTTAATAGCAGAAAATTCCCCTAAAAACGTTTACAATTGCAATATACCCTCCTGTCTATTGAAAATCACAAAAAATCTCCATGTTTAAAACCTTTTGTGCGAAAACCCCCTGTCGTCAAGATCTATTAGATTTTTTGTTTAAAATAGTAAATAATGCCAAAATTAAAAAGAAATAATTACAATTTCAGTACCCAAACTTTTTTTTTATAAATTAAATCCATATTTTTTATTTGTTCCACCTACCATCCCAATTTTTTAACACTCTATTTTTCACCCCGTCTCACTTCGCCCCACCCCACTTTTATGTATTTAACTCTTCCCAATGCCAAAGACGGATTTCCAGCTTTAGGAGAAAAAATTGGCCCCAAATCCGAATTCTTAGATAATCACCTCCCGTATGAACAAGAGGCAGTGTGTGCATTTGTATTCCAAAATTCAAGATATCTTTTGGGAAGACTCATAATCCCCTTAAACATCAACCCAAAAAGCCTCCATTCGATCTATTTTTCGACAGTCATGACTCATTTTTTGTCGAACACGTCTCCTTCAATTCATGTCTCACACATCATCCAATCCCCAAATTGGCATCAATCAAACTAATAAGTCCAAAAGACCATGGGTATGAATTTAATTGAGCCAATTATCCCCCAACTACTCCAATTTCTAGTTCAAAATTTGTCCTGGATGCTACGCATAGGGACTATGTTCTGTCCGAAATTGATGGGCCCCGAGTGCTTCAACCTATAAAATCATATGGGGAAATGCATTATCATGGCCAAACAAACATGGGCATGCAAATAATTGATCTAATCTAGCCCTTAAATTCGTGATCATCTTGCAAGAACATTGAGGCTATTTTATCTCAATTAATTGAAGGGACTATGTGAGATGAGGGGCTGTGGTTTGATTGCGTCTTGTGTGAGACATATGGATGTGGTTGGCCCGCGATGGTGTCGGTGGTGGTGGAAGGAGAGAACATTTTTATTTTTTGGTTATTTTATTTTTAGAGAAGAGGATGGGGAATTTTAAAAAATTGGGATGGAAGGTGACACATATAAAAAATTTGGATTTAATTTGTAAAATAAAAGTTTGGGTACTGAAATTGCAATTATTCCTTTTTAATTTGGCACTTTTACTGTTTTTAACGGCAAATTTGACGAATCTTGACGACAGGGAATTTTCGTACAAAAAGTTTCAAATAGAGAGATATATCGCAATTGGAGATGTTTTTAGGGAATTTTCTGTTATTAATCCTTCAATTTAACATACTGAACATGTCACGTCGTTTCTCATCCCAACCATAAACCCGGTCTAGAAATTTTAAAAATGGAAAATTTACACAAATATTATGAAATTGGGTACAGTTTTGTAGACTTCTTGGCTCTAATTTTTTATATCTTTATATATTATCCTAAAAGAGAAAATGAACAGAAGAATTATGATAATGGCCAAAAATCCATTTTGTAGTTTTGTACGATTAAGAAATTTCAATCCTTACAACGCAAAATGAATAAAATATGGTCCACAGCCACCATCTCTCACTAAAACCAACAGCACAGCCACCATCTCTCACTAAAACCAACAGCACAGCCGCCACCACCACCACCACCACCCACCACCTAACTCTGCCTATCCCAAAGCTATTAACCACAAAAATTTCCCCAAAATACCCTTGGCATCATTCAAAAATAACAATGGTACGCCATCCGAAACAGAGTGCCCAGTGCCACAAATAACAATGGTTTATTATGGTGACAAAAAGTTTTACTCTGTATTACAAGGGCGAATCCAGCCCTGAATTTCAGCACTGGCGGGCAACGATCATTGACGGTTGACCGCAACAATAGGAATGACGATATCGATTATTAATTTTTAATTAAATAATATTAAAAATAGTTCGATTAATATATAAATACACTTAAACTAGGAATGATATAATATGAAAATATAATTCAATACAACCCAAAATAAAAAAGAAAAATAAGAGATACAACTTCACTTCGTAACTATACACACAGATAATTGGAATCTTCGTGGTCTCATATTTTGAAAGTGCTGCAAAGATTGTCTCGTTATCAAATTTTTTAAAAACTTATTGCTCAATGTACCTACCAAATTGTCATTCAACCAGTCATCCCCCATTTTGTTGCGCAAATCACTCTTGATTAGATTCATAATAGAGAATGCTATTTCAACACTTGCACTTGCCACTTGTAGTTTTAATTTCAAATTTTCAATGCCAATTTATCACAAATTTCTAAATTCCCCAATGAACAAATTCCCAAAATTTTCAATTCACAAATTCCCCAATTAACAAATTTTCAAATCTCTAAATTTACTAATTAACTAATTCACAATTTTCCTAATTCAGAAATTCACAAAATTTTCCACTTCATAAATTAGTCAAAGAAAAATATTGAAATAAAATAAAAAAGCAATAAATTAAAGTAAGTTAACTAATTAAATATATTAAACATATATAATTCTGTTAGAAAAAAAA